AAATTTTTAATGCTTTCCCGCATCTATCGTTTTCCCGCATTCATCGTTTTTATTTCCCACCCCCGCCGAAAACGATGCATCGAGGTTTCACTGTATTAGATTTTTATGTAAAGAACAATCTTCAGGAAATTTTATAGCTAAAAAAATGTTATGTTATCATTTCATTAGACAATTCATTGATAAAAATATTTCTAACAGAACTGAAAAAATAAATAAAAAAAATTTAGATGGAGAGAAATTAATATACTCTGACATTAGTAATGAACCCATAAAGTAATCTTGTTAATGTTTTCTTCACTTCAGTTTCCATTATCTATTGCAGTGATTTGGAACGTGTGCGAGAGGGTCTGAGTAGCAAATGCAGCCTAGTGATTCAGTATGCGTCAACATTTGTTTCTGGAATAATTGTTGGATTTATCACAAGCTGGAAGCTCACCTCTGTAGTTATGACAGTGGGGCCATTTTTTATTGGAACATCAGCCTATCTAGCCAAGGTATATTATAATCAGAGATGTCAGACTTCATAATTGATGGCACCTTTTAACATTTCTGTCAATACTACTTGGTAGAGGCTTCAGTTAGAGCATCTACAAAAGATGTGGTTACTGTTGCATGCACTAATTTCTAACAATACGACACTCTGTCTGTCATATAATGTATAAAAGTTTCTTTCTCCCTATATATATCTGGAAGAGAAAGGTTTATATCTTCTTCTTCTTCTTCTTCTTCTATGGCTCTCCGGTCCGTATTCGGTCCATGGCCTCCTCAATTCTCCTCTTCCGTTCAGTCCTAGAAAGACGTCAGAAAGGTTTATATACAAAGAAGAATTTGTGTCAACATTGTATTTTATTTTTAACTTAAAGAATTAAATTAATTGCATATTATTCCCCAAATCTTCTTGATCCTCAAAATAAAATTCTAGATATGCCTTCCGTTGAAGCCGTTGGTTTCGAGTAAAGTCAATTAGAATTTGTACCTGTCCAAAAGAAAATAAATAAAAGTTACTGAAACATTAATGAAATGTAGTTGAATAGAATTCTTCAGTATTCAATGAAACATTACGTAGTTGAAATAATATATGCGTAACTTTATGCACATATTTCAGTATTTGAAGTTGTAAGATGTGAAATGTATTTATGGCTAATTAATTAATATTTTCATTACCACTTCAGTTATTCTAATTGTCTACGGTCATAAACTTACGACACTATAATTCTTTGTCGAATTGCATATAATAGATGCGTACTAAAGAGATTAGACTGGTTTCCTTTTGTTGTTTCAGTGTAGACAGTGGAGTTCAGTAAATTTTATCCTTGCAGAACAGAAAATGCAATTTTAAGTAGCCAGTACTAGAGATCACGCTGTTTGTTGCAGATCACAGCTACGTCGTCAGCACGGGAGCAAGAGAAGTACGCAGTGGCAGGAGGAATCGCAGAACAGGTGCTGAACAATGTAAGAACTGTCATGGCCTTTGGCAAACAGAATTACGAAATACAACGGTGAGTGGAAGCATGGAGCTAGACTCGTATTGTTCCTGTGTCACATTTGCCTAAGCTACATTGACTGCAGTACGCACGCACATTACTATTCAGCCTTCACTTGTGCAATGTTTTGTAACAACTCTCATGTTTATAATTTTAATGAGCGAATGTACCTCCAGTTCCAAGTATTCATCGTCGCTGCCCTTAGATTTTTCTGTTTCGTGTGAGTTATCAAATAACGAAGCCTCTTCCGTACCATCCAGAATCTTTTTACTTGAATTTTGTGCAAGTCTCTTCTGTCTTCTTTATTCATAACTCAGCTAATTCTTCTCGTAATTGGTCTGATTAAAATGTCTGCCAAACATCTTTATGTTCGAACCATTCCCTTTTCACTCACCCACACTCTTTTGTTACTGATACCTGTCATTTTTTAATTAAGTCACCTTTAGAAAGTGAACCTATAACATTTGTTTCTTTTTGGTGATGTTTTCTATTCTCTACTTCTCAGACTTAATTTCGTCTATTCTCATTTAATTAATCCTATTTTAATTATAAATAATCCGAGTAATTGACACACCATCGGAAAATGACTGAATAACGAAGCAACATCAAACAAAAAGTGTCGGACCATGCGTATAATATACCCAATAAACTGACGTGATTTATGAAAATGAATATTGAGTCATAAGTCACTTTTTTATACAATACAAAAACTTGTTTCTAAAATGTAGCCGTTGTTTCGGATGTCTTTTGTTCCTTCGTGGAACTTAAATGTGGTTTTACGTTCCAGATTTGATACTGCCCTAGAAGCTGGACGTATTCTTGCTATGAAGAGATATTTTATCCTGTCAGTATGTGTAGGAACTGTATTCTTTCTCAACTACATAGGATATGGACTGGCATTTTGGTATGGCTCAGAGCTAGTCACAAATAGTGAAATAACACCTGGTAGTGTTTTCACGGTAAGTTTCCCGTGTAATCTTCTTTGTGCTTAACTGGATGCAAGCAGCTACTGTAGTTGATATTTGAACAAAAGAATGAGGGACTGTATGACAGTAATAGTGAGTGAGTGGGTGAGTTAGAAGTTTAATTAGTGATTAGACGAACTACTCTGAAATTAAGCAGTTGAACATCATAGGATTTGAGGTTTTCACAGCATTGAGTCTGAAGATTGCTATCATCTGGGTTATTGCACCATGTAGTCTGGTAGTCTGTACTCTGGTCTGGTACTGCCTCCGTTATCAGGGCGATGACGGAGGCCGTATGACCTCTGAAACATTGGAAATCTACCAGACTACACGGCGCAATAACCCAGAAGATAGCAATCTTCAGTTGAATATTTTTGAATGAGGAATATACACAAAAATTTTTACATTATTTTAAGATCTAGCAGTAATAATTTCCCCCTTTGTACAGGTATTCTTCAGTGTCATGTCTGGCGCTTTCTCCCTGGGCCACGCGATGCCGTATATATCTGTTGTTAGTACAGCAATCGGAGCAGCATCGACCCTGTTTGCTATCATTGATCGTGTACCAGACATTGATCCGTATTCCAACGCTGGAGTAAAACCAGAAAAAGTACGAGGTGAAATTGAACTGAGAGACGTTACCTTTTCTTACCCAGCACGTTCTGGAGTCCAGGTAAAGAAAACATTTTTACAGCTTCGTTCAGTATGTAACACATTAGGAAATAATTTAACCTTTCTAACGTTATGAACATAACAGAGTTCTGTTGTATAAAAAAAGCTTACTGTGTGTTATGGGTAAAGTTACTGACAAACACCATAAATCACATCCTGTCTGGAGAAACTGATAGTTGATGAGCTGGTCAAGAAATTGCTTTTACTTTTTATGGAACCCGAACCTGTCACCGGAACCTATCCTAAGTTACACCTCATTTATTTAAGATTCATTTATAGGTATTTTTATGCACTACCTTGAGGGAAGAACATCTTATATCTGTTTGTCACATTTATCATAGGAACTAAGCAATCCGCATGATCCGTATCATTTTTGGAACACATTGTCATGATGCCTATCTAAAAACGAATAAATAAAACAAGAAGTCTGCTCAAGCAGTAATTCTTTAAAATTATGGGTCAAATGTTGTGGAAGTTGCTGCAAAACTGATCTGTAGCGTTCCTTGTCTTTGGTGCAAATCTCTGTGTGGGAGGTTAAGCCAGAATGTCAATGACTTGTCTGTTGATGTCTTTATTTGATAGATTGAGTTCATGAACTGTACTGTTTAATTAAAAAATAAGACGGTAAAGTATTTGGGTTTTGATTTCTAATGAGATTTGCACTTTCGCTGTCCAAAGAAATGTACAAGTTTAAATAAGTTCTATCCAATTTTATGTTGACATCGACAAAACCTGACGTCAACGTAAATTTCTTAACTTTTAATGGAACATATGAACAGATATAGATAGGTTATAAAAGGACCCGTAACATTGTTATATTTTTTATGTCATCAGGTTCTTGATGGAATAAATTTGAAAATAAAAGCTGGAGAGACAGTGGCGTTGGTTGGCGCAAGTGGCTCAGGAAAAAGCACAATTTTGTCCCTTCTATTACGTTTCTACGATCCCACATCTGGACAGGTATGTAACAAAACAATAGAATGCCAGTAGTAAGTACTGTTCCTGAAATTGATGATTCTCTAAAGGTTTTAACAATGATTTTTTCATTATATGTTGGATATTGTCTGAGTCATACTTCATATACATAGCATTCCAACAGTTGGCTTTGCTCCTATCTTCGGGTAATTGGTTCTCATTATAGCAACAAGTCTTTTAACATCTTCCTTTATTTTAAGATTGGTGTCGAGAGTTGGGATTAATCCTGAAATGTTCTTTATTTCAAACATGCTTCAGACAATGAATAATGTTCAATATAATATTATTATGTTCTTCTTGAAATGGTCTATCCACTGTTGCCACAACATCCTAACAACTATGTAGGTTCTGCTGGATGGTATGGATGTGCGCAAGATGAATGTGCCCTGGTTGCGCAGCAAAATTGGAGTCGTGTCCCAGGAACCAAACCTGTTCGGAACGACCATCTATAACAACATTAGTTATGGGTACCCTCATCAAGTAGGACACCGTGACATCGTGAAAGCCTCTCTGATGGCCAACGCCCATTCTTTCATCTCGGCACTTCCGAAGGTAATAAGAACAAGCAAAGAACTGATGTCTGCTTCTTTCAGTGTTTAAAATGCATAAATTGGAGCTGAGACTATCAACTTTTTTTAAAATTATGATTAGATTGTTGTCATTTGACACAATCTGATATTGCTTCAGATGTGCTACCCTTTATTTATTTATGTGTAAAACTGTTTATTTGGGGTCCGCAGTGGCCGCGCGGTCTGAGGCGTGGGCCTTGTGCCGCTTGGTCACAGGGACCGTGGGTTCGAATCCCACTCAAGCCATGGATGTTTTTCTGTGTTGTGCTGTCCTGTAAATAGGTAGAGGCCTTGCGACAGGCCGATCCCTCATCCAAGGAGTCCTACTGAATGTCCATAGATCAAGCCAACTAATAAGATGGGGACCCGTAAAGGGTACCGGAAAATGTATAAACGTTGTTAAACTGGAGGAAAGAAGAACTGTTTATTCTGGACTGTGCTCCCAAACACAAACCTAAACCAGTCTAGAAATGCATTATCCTTTGCTGGTTACACACTGATAAGTGAGATTTTACTGGTCCTGTAGTTTTGATTTCGAAAGTAGGGAAAATCCCTTCATTCAGAAATGAAATTTATATCACAGATTTAATTTTACAGGGTTACCATACAGTGGTGGGTGGATCAGTTGGTTCATCTCAGCTGTCTGGAGGCCAGAAACAGAGGATTGCCATTGCAAGGGCCTTGATTCGAGACCCACCGATTTTACTGTTTGATGAAGCTACGTCTGCGCTTGATTCAAGGAGTGAACAGATAGTTAAAGACACCCTGAAACAGGCATCTAAAGGAAGAACAACTATCATTGTTGCTCACAGGCTGTCTACTATTTTTGAGGCTGACTGCATATATGTTCTTAAGGTACCTAAATAAGCCTTCACAGATTTATCACTGAAATGCTGCATAAAGCTCTTCAAAATTTAAATGTAAGCAGGTTAGTGAAGTGATTTCTAGGTACTTTTGACTAGTAAATCTCTTGTAATTTGTAAGACTTGAGGTTCTCACAGCGGTGAGTATGAAGATATCCGTCTTCTGGGTTATTGCGCTGTGTAGTCTGGTCGATGTTAACCAACGTTTCAGAGGTCATACTGCCTCCGTCATCAGGGCGATGATCATCTCCCTGATGATGGAGGCAGTATGACCTCTGAAACGTTGGTTAACATCGACCAGACTACACAGCGCAACAACCCAGAAGACAGAAATCTTCATACT